GAGATTTGACTATAGGGAAAATTAGCAAAAAGAGATTGAAAAGTCTTTCGTTTTTTCTTTTGCCAAAGGGCTGTTATCTTCATGTCAACACTTTTTCCTAGTATTTATTGAGATGTGACATTTTTCTCTCAATAATTTTATCGCGACATCATATAACATAAATGCACATGTGCTAATTGGATGTTGCTCTGAACCAAAAACTTGCTTTTTTCATCGAGTAATGTAAATGTCAGGTTTTTAAAGAAAAAAAAGGTTCATATGATATCTCTTTCTTGGGAAAAATGTCAAAATAGCCTACAAATAAACAGACTAATATGTTATACATATTGGGCCTACAATTAACGGCCCATTTACTATCGTTGGACGGCGAATAAAATCACACTTTTTCTTTTGTAAATTGAGCATTACTTTTGGCATAATAATCTATTTTAATTTTAAGTGGGAATTTACCAAAAAAACAATAGTTAAAATTATAATGATATTCTCCCTACATATTCCAACAATCTATGAGGTTGTGGCTCTTTGTACAATGATTCGTTCGTACTTCCATGTGATAATTAAAAGAAAAAGTGCCTCTTTTTTTTGTTTTTAAAAAATTTAAAAGTGCCTCTTTTAAACTTTTTTTTCAATCAATATTGCAATAGACACCACCAATTCCATTGGAATTTTTTTCTTTTCTTTTATGTGTTTTCAAATTATTGGATCAATTTAAGAGTTACTAGGTAGCAAAAAATGATACATACAAAAAAAAATCGTATCACGTATGGAATAAACACTTTGTGCCAACATGTGTAAAATTCCAAATATGTTAATCAAACGCTAGCTTTTGACTTTTTATTAATATGAAACTTCTTTTAATATAAATTTTGAAAAAAGAAAAGGAAAACAGGTGAAATGACCCACCAATCCAGTTTTCGCCGGTTTGCACGAATCTATTTTTTCCTACCACAAAACCACTTTTTTTTTTTGTTCCTTGTCTAATGCATCTATTGATATCTCCTCGGAATAAATAAAAGCAAAATTAGGTGGAATAGCCACAAAAAAAACTATAATCAAAATTCTAACCAATTAACCTAAATTCAATGAACAAGATTATTTCACATATACTGTTTTTGGTTAGTTTTCTAATTATTAATTTTTTTTGGTAGTTAGCATATTAATCCATAAATAAAATAGAAACTGGTTTTTTATTTATTTTTTTCATCACACGAATTATAACTATATGAAACTTCATAAATAAACATAATAAAAAGGCATTATGTTTATATATAACATATTGTAAGATATTCATTATTTTTCTTGTAGCTGCAAGGATGTCACACATCAAAACAGGATTCATGAAATTTCAAAACTATTCAACTATTGAACTACTAAATATTTAGGATATTGAGTCCTTAACTAGCTATGAAATATAATATAAGCAGATGTATTACTTGCAATACATATACGGATTACGAATTTATGTGTGGCATCATCTCCGTTAATCCAGGGTTTAGCTGGATAAGTTTTAATGATGACAAAAAGGAAAAGGAAAAAAAAGTACCTTATATACAGGATAAGATTAAAGTTTCTTTGAGTGCTTAAACATCAACTTAAATATATTCAATAACGTTTATTTAAAAGAAAAATTGCAAAAATGTCCACTTTTTATGTGTACATTTGCAAAAATATCATTTAAGAGTGTTTATTTGCAAAAATATCACTAATTATAGATTTTTAAACCCTATATCTTAAAATTCTAAACACTAAAAAATGTCTTTGATCCCTAAACCCTCATAACTAAACCATAATAGAACATAATTAACCCAAACATAAATAATATAAAAAAAAATAATTTTAAAAAGTGATATTTTTTGTAAAGATTTCAAAAGTATGATATTTTTGTAAAATGGCACTTTTCAAATGGCATTTTTTGAAATTTCTCTTCTTTAAATACGTTATATATAGAGGTATTCAAATTCCGTCCAA